GGATTAGAAACTTCTTATTCAAAATATTTATCTTAATGTTATCACATGTAAAATGCTTAAGTTGATGTTCAAGTTATCTCATTAGAATGCTAAAAAATAAGACAACAAATAGTCAAGGGTTTTGGACTTATTGAAAGATAGATAACTATTTAAATTTAATTAATTATTCATATTGGATAACTAAAATCTACCCAGAAAACATGAGAAAATCACAGGCACTATACATTTCTCTTCTTCTGGTGAGTGGATCAGGTATTCCTTCACATACAGTTATGAGATTATATTGTGTTGTACTTATTTAATTCTGTGTGATATTTTATTCACAGAAAATAATGGCACTAATATAAAATTTAATTAATTGAGAAAAGTTTGTAATCTCAGTCTTGAAAGCTATTTCATTTTTATGCAATGATCAAGAAATATCAATTATTTGCTATACATATTGTTTAATTAAATAAATGGTAATATATAATCTCATCTACAGTTAAGTCTAAAAATAATTCTTTTATAATTAAAAAAAAATTAGACTAATTGTGGTTTTGAGTAACATTAAGTATACTTTGCTTTTGAATCAACAGGATGAAACCAAGGGAGATTATGAAAAAATCCTGGTGGCTCTTTGTGGAGGAAACTAAACATTTCCTTGATCGTCTCAAGCTACAATCAGAAGACTTTAATTATATATTTTCATTCTATAAGCTTAAATAGGAAAGATTCTTCAACAGGATTACAGTCTAGCTACCTACATTCTGAAAAATAAAGTCTGTAAGCCATTTTTATATTATAACTCTGTATAATAGAAACAAGTTCATTTTTTAAAAATGTTTACCCCAAACCATAAAACCCTATACAAGTTGTTCTGGTAACAATACGTGAGAAAGATGTCTATGTAACTGAAAATAAAACAATGTTACAAGACAATTGCTGTGTCATTGACTCTTCTATTTTGATTTTCTTTTATGTGTAATTCAGTGGTTTAATTTGACATTAAGGATAGGAGCCTGAAGTCTATATTATAATTACTTAATGAAATAGAGTTCACATTTTGAATTGAAGAAAATATTTATAGATTTTGAAAAGGTACGCTATCATCTGTGTATCATCTGTGTCCAGATTATTGAGATGGTGTCTCTGTATAATAAATCTATTGCGCTAGCATAATAATAATTTGATATATTCTATATTTCATTAACTAGTATAAAGATGAAATGGCAAAACTTGTAAAAAGTTCTCATGTTTGTTTTATGGCAATTTTATGTTTACTTTTTCTAAGAAACTTCCAAATTGTTCTCCAGAGTGGTAATACCATTCCACTTTACCACCACAAATCTAACAGTGGTTCAGTTTCTCCACATCCTTGCCAGCATTTGAAATTGTCACTATTTGGTATTTTTGCACTGCTTATTTATTATTTATTTATTTTTTGAGATAGAGTCTCACTTTGTCACCCAGGCTGAAGTGCAGTGGTGTGACCTTGGCTCACTGCAACCTCCACCTCTTGCGTTCAAGTGATTTTCCTGCCTCAGGCTCCTAAATAGCTGGGATTACAGGCACCCAATCATCATGCCCAGCTATTTTTTTTTTTTTGTATTTTTAGTAGAGCTGGGGTTTCACCATGTTGGCCAGGCTGGTCTTGAACTCCTGACCTCATGTAAACCACCTGCCTCTGCCTCCCAAAGTGTTGGGATTAGAGGCATGAGCCATCAGGCCCAGCTACTTATTTTTTCTTTATTGTCAAATCTTGAAAATTATTTATACATTCTAGATATTAGTCTTTCATCATATATGTGGTTTGCAAATATTCTGTGTTAGTCTGTAGCTTGTCTTTTCATCCTCTTAGCAGGTTCTTTTACAGAGTAAAAGTTTTAAATTTTAATGACTTCCAATTTATAATTTATTTTCCTTTTATAGTTGTTTTGCTATTATGTCTACAAGCTCTTTAACTCTAGGCCTTAAGAATTGTTCATGTTTTTTGCTAAAAATTTTATGGTTTTGTAAATTTGTGATCCATTTTGAGTTGATTTTGGTATAAAGCGAGAGAGACTTAGGTCATGGTTCCTTTTTGGTAGCATTGTTATAAATGTCCAATTGCTCCTGCACACTTCGTTGTTTGTTGAAAAGGCTGTGTCCTTTATTAACTTGCTTACGCATTTTCATCAAAAAGCAATTGGACATATTTGTGTTGGTCTTTCTTTAATTTTTGATATTTATATTGAATGAAAATATAAAACCTTGCAATTTCTCATCCTCTATGAATAGATAATAGATACCAATTTAGTTAAGCTCTTTATTTCAAGGAGAGTATCTTCCAGGGTACAAGCTCTTTCTTCAAAAAGGCAATGGGAAAAGTTACTTTCCCGTGAGCATCTTCTTACCAGGAAGAGCTGGATAAAGGTGGTGACAATTTATTTATTCATCCTCAAAAGACGTGGGTTAGCCATGGGATATTCTGATCACCTTGAGCTGCATTCAGAGTTAACCCTCCTTCACCCGGTTGTAGCTTATTTGCCTTGATCACTGACTAACTTTTATCCACACACACCTGTCCCATGTATTGTATGTTATAGTCATGATTACTTGGCCCACAGCATATTGGACAAATGGGTTGGCAGATATGCTGCCTCTTATGGCCTCTGGATTCCTTAAGTTCTGTTGTTATTATATACCATATCTCCCTTGTGCGCTTGATTTGGAAGAAGTACCTTAGTGGAAAATCGGAGGGAACCTGCAGCTATTATATCAAGGCAAGATGAAGTTATCAAGATATTTTTGTCAGCACTATTCTTATAATAGGGGCCAGGTGTTATAATTTTTTTTTTTTTTTTTGAGATAGTGTCTAACTCTTGTCGCTTAGGCTGGAGTGCAATGGCACAATCTCAGCTCACTGCAACCTCTGCCTCCTGGGCTCAAGCAATTCTCTTGCCTCAGCCTGCAGAGTAGCTTGGATTACAGGCAAGTGCTACCACGCCCGGCTAATTACTGTATTTTTAGTAGAGATGGGGTTTCATCATGTTGATCAGGTTGGTCTCAAACTCCTAACCTCAGGTGATCTGTCTGCCTTGGCTTCCCAAATTGCTGGTATTTCACTGGGATTACAGGCATGAGCCACCATGCCTGGCCAAAATATTTGCCAATCTATAAGAGAGCTACCTTGTTAAGATTGCATCCCCACCTCTTCCTACTTCCAATTAATTTTAAAAGAAACTGCCTGAGCTGTTTACTCTCTCTTTGCCTTTTTTTCCCTTCCTACCCGTCATTTGCTTTTTTTCTGTTCTGCTCTGAAAGGTGACTTCTGAAGATTTTATCACGCAGTCTCTCTTGCCTTCTGATTTCTGGCTGAATTCAGCTTATGAAAGAACTTGGAAGGAGATGGGAGATGAGGCAGAGGTACTCCTGCTCCCTTCCTGATTCTATAGACTTACTAACATTTCTGTTCTTATATAATTATAACCTCGTCCCATGTCACTTTGTCTGAGGCTCTAGCTCTCAACTATTTCCTCTCCTTGCCCTTTGGACTTGAGATTCCTGCTGTTGCTGGTCCATAGATACTGCAACATTGCATGTGGGTTCCTTAACCCTCTTCCGTAATTAAAACAATCCTCCAATCTCCAGCTTTTTATACTAGCCATTTCTTTCTAGGACCCTGTCTCATATACCTACTGAAAGTGCTAAACTTACTCACTTTATTAAAACTACTTGGAAGCCTCCTGAATAAATTCTAGACATGGTGATAGACAAGTGGATACACAAATGAATAGGAGAGCCACCTCAGTAAGAAGCAGTAAAAAGCAAAATTTTCAAAAATAAAAATGTATAATGTTTCATAATTCATGGAAAGAATTGGTAAGGTGAACTTCACTAAAATTAAAAACTTCTTTGTAAATACACTATTGTGAGAATAAAAAGACAAACTACAGACTTGGATAAAATGTTTGCAAGACAAATATCTGATAGAGAACTGATATATAAAATATATAAAAAAAACACTCTTAAGACTAAGTTAAAAAAAAGTTAAAAAAAATTTAAAGAATAAGCAAAAGATCTGAACAAGTACCTCACTAAAGAAGATATAAAGATGGTAAATATGCCCATGAAAATATGCTCAATATCATATATCATTAGGGAATTGCAAATTAAAACAACGAAACACCACTAAACACCTATTAGAATGACTAAAATTCATTCCATGTCAAGCAAAAGAAACTCTCCTTTGTTCCTGGTGTGAATGCAAAATGTCACAGTCACTTTGGAAGACAATTTGGCAATTTGTTTTACAAAGCTAAACATAGCTTACATCATCCAGCAATCATGCTCCTAGGTATTTATGCAAACGAGTTGAAAATTTATGTCCACAAGCAAGAAATCTGCACACAAATGATTATAGGAGAGTTACTCATAATTTCCAAAACTTAGAAGCAACCAAGATGTCTTTCAAAAGGTCAGGGAATAAACAAACTGGGTACATTCAAACAGTAGAATACTATTCAATAATAAAAGGAAACAAGCTATCAAGCAACAGAAATAGAAGAATCTTAAACACATATTGCTGAGTGAAAGAGGCCAGTCTGAAAGTCTACATACTACATGATTCCAACTATATAAATATTGAAAATATTGAAAAAGACAAAACTATGGAGACAGTAAAAAGATCAAAGGTTTTCATGGATTAGGTTGAGGGAGGGAGGGATAAACAGGTGGAGCACAGAGCAGTTTTAGGGCACTGAAACTGTTCTGTATGATACTGTAATGGTAGGTACATGACAGTTACACATTTCTCGGAACCTGTAGAACTTTACAATACACAAAGTGAATCTTATGTAAACTTTGAATTTTCATTAATAATAATGTATCAAAGGAAAAATAAGGGAGAAGTAGAAGGGGTGTATAGAGACTCTTTAATTTCTGTGCAATTTTTCTGTAAACCTAAAACTGCTCTATAAAAATGAAGTCTATTAAAAATAGTTATTTAATTTTAAAGCTCATAATACAGCAAAAGAGAAAAAAATCATGGAAAAGATGATGGCATAATGTAATAATGGTAATATATAGGCACATATGAAGGGCTTTGGTAAAATAAGAGAGAGTAATGGAATCAGGAAAGGCTACAAAATAGAGAAAACCTGAATGGTAAGTGACATTTCATATTGCTGAATGAATTAATTGTGTATTGAGAATTAAGAACTATAATTAGATGTATTTTTACAAAAAATATTATTCAATGTTCAAATCAACCTTGGAGGGAGGTATTATCTGCTTTTTACAAATGAGGAATCCAAAGTTCCCCGGTTTCACCTGACTTGTACAAATTCATACAGTATGTGAATGAATAAACACAAATTCAAACACAAGCCTTCGGACTGTGGGTCCATTTCACCAAAAGTTACAGGAAGAAAATTATGAGAAGAAAGACTGTAGGTATGAGGAAGGAATGAAACTAAGTGAGAACTTGCTTCAGATGCCAGGTCTTGTTACAAGATACTGTTATAATAAGAAGCTGGTTTTGGCATGGAGTAGTGGAAACTCTGTATGATCAATGAGAAATCTCTTAAACAAAATAGTAATCAGATTTTCAAATATATAAAAATCTAGGAACCATATATAATAATAAGTACTCTCTTTTTACCCAAAAAGAACAAGCAAAAGTAGAAATGTTGTCTTTTGCTTACAGATAGACCAAATTGATTTTTGTTTTTTTGTTTTGGCCAATCTAATAAACAAGGCCATGAAGTGCAATTGTATATTATCCACTTTTTAAAAAATATCATATTCCCCTTAAATGGTCAGCTTTAAAGAAAAAAATACTTGAGTTTTAAATGTCAAATATTAGAAAGAAATGTATTTATTGTCAAGATTTAGGAGAAAAGGTTGTTTCTTTACTTTCTTAATTAACTTGCTTTCACTTTACTGTATGGACTTGCCCTGAATTCTTTCTTGCATGAGACCCAAGAACCCTCTCTTGGGGTCTGGATCAGGACCCCTTTCTGGTAACATCTTCCTGGTAACCACGAAGGGATTATACTGAGGAGACCCCCTACCTGAAGGAAATAGTTTGCAGCACCAACTTTGAGTAAGTGGTGGGGTACATTTTACCCCAGTAAAGGATGAGATTTGGTTAGAGGCCCAACTTAGGAGGGTGCCTCTCCTAAGACAGAGAAGGTTAAAAACCCCCACTTTTTTTTTGAGACTGAGTTTCACTCTTGTTGCCCAGGCTGCAGTGCAATGGCATTTCAGCTCGTGCCTCAGCCTCCCAAGTAGCTGGGATTACAGGCATGCACCACCATGCCCAGCTAATTTTTGTATTTTTGAGTAGAGATGGGTTTTCACCATGTTGGTCAGGCTGGTCAAACTCCTGACCTCAGGTGATCTGTCTGCCTCAGTCTCCCAAAGTGCTGGGATTACAGGCAGGAATAAAAGGCAAGGATGCTTGACCACAAATTTTTCTAGGAAACCTACCTCAAGTGCCCTCTAGAAAACTCATCTTTCAATCCCAGTCTGTATAAGTGGAGTTGCCTTAAAACCCCTAATGTTTTAAGGGTGCTTATATACTAACCTTGGCCATAGGGAGCATTCTGTAAAGGTCCATAATGAGCCCCCAAATATCTGTAACCCTCATGCATAGTTCAGTGTAGTCCAGGACTCACCTCTGGATCATAAGCTGCGGGTGTTCTATACAATATCTATTATATTCCACTAAGCTTGTGAAGACCTGTGACACCTCCATCCTGATAGGTGAACCGTATACACTAAGGGAAGATCTTACATGTTGCCATCAACATGGCTGGAGAGAAGGCACAAAGATCACCTTCCCCAAAGGGAGAGATGCCATGCTTGACAACAGTCCTGCAGATACTGTTGTAGTAGTTAAAGAACAGCCCCGGGTACACCACTGCCAAAATGGCATCTGTAAGCTCTGCAGTGCCCTGGTAAACCTCAGGGGGTGGTGCCTAGATCTGGATTGAAAAAGGGTCATAATATAGACATGATGGGGCACAAACTTTTTTCCACCAGCAGGGTCATCTTTTCCTATCTTCACTTTTTTCTTACTTTCTCTTTTATTCTAAGGCATCTTTCCTTACTCTCACCTTTATTTTATGCTATGAGGTAGGTGGTTGCCTGGTCAACGTTGCTACCACAGACAGCTAGGTGATCTCTCTGCTCATTAAAAATGTCATAAATCCAGGAAATACCCAGGGAGTGGAACTAGTTCCTGAAAGTGACTTTTTAGTGGAAAAACCTTAATGTTGAGGTCAAAATATGTTTCCCCAAATCATGAGCATGCCCTGCTTGTCATCATCTTAAGCGGCAACCACAGTGTTCCTGACACCCTACCCCAGCCAGCAGTACCCCCAACACTCCCACCAACTTACATGATCCTCTGGTCACTGAAAACTTTTTAAAATAGTGATTAAACCACTATTTCTGAAAAATATACCTGTCCTTGACCCTCTCTTCACATATGGAAGGCCTGTCTTACTCACTGCTCTAAAGAATATGAAGCAGTGAATGGGGAAGAAGGTGCAGGCTGCCATACAATATCAGCAAGTCTCAATCAAAGAGGTAGAAAAGAGTCCAACTCCTCAGACTTCATCAGGGACTGAAGGGGCTTTTGAAGACACATGAAACTCATTCCTCCACAATAGCTCCAGGAGACTGGTCACCTTTTAGAAGTCAAAGGAGGCAGTCAGTGAGAACTGAACCAACTCCTACCTTTCCCAAAGCACAAGCTTGGGTTACTCAATACCAATACTCCCCAACACAATACACAGAAAAGATATCAGTCTTATTAGAACATTTACTGGGGAGAATCGATATTCTCAAACAGGAGTGAATTATTTTGTGGGGGGAAATTTTCCTCCCTGGAAATGTTTTGGAAGCATTGTCTGTGTAATTACTAAAGGCTCATCACTAAACACAGTGCTTTTAGCAGTGGTTGGGATGGCTGGAGGTACTGAATCAACTTGACACTGGCAAGTGGGATTTAGTTGGGGCACAGCCTTCCTGTGGGGCATGGATTGGGGATGCCTTTGACACAATATCTTGCCCTTAAATGCCTCAACTTTTGGGGCTGTCTGTTCGTGTCTGTGATCTGTCTAATCCTCGTTGGATAATTCTGGCCAACTAAGATAGCTTGTTGGCTGCAAGATTTGCTACATGTCACTTTGCAGGAGGGAGCCATGTAGTTGCAGGGATAGCCCTGGACAGGCTTTGCTCTGTCCTGCAGTACTGTCTTGTGCTGAGCTTTTCTAAGCTCCACTGGGGAGAAAAGGGGCTCTTGGGGACAGGTGATTTCTATCCCACCCCTATGCTCCAGCTTCTCCTCTAGGGACTTTCCAATGTCTCTCTTAACTTTCTGAGCTTCAGTAGTCCCAGTAAAGGCAGCTCTAATCATAGCTGGACCTCTATCCTGCACAGATGATGACAGGGAGCTACTTTTTCTGGGAACATTCTTGTTCCTCACATATTATGCTGGGTTTCTTAAACCTCTGAAAAAAGGTCTTCATCCATTTTCAGGAGGAGGCTGTGTTTTCAAGGTTGGGGAATATTTTCTCCCAAGCACCTCCCCTGATGTCTTCTTTTGAACAGGATGGCTCTTTCTCCTGGGTTGGGGTGTGCCCAACCCTGCATCCCCTCCACCAAGCTCTCCTCCTTTGGATTTCACTCTTTTTGTAGCTGGTGGGAAATTCTTAACTTGGCAAATCTGTAAGACATGCTTAGAAACCGTGGGCTTCTGCTGCTGTTCCACATGTCCATGCTGTCCTCCACATGGACATGTAGCATCTGGGAAGTTGCCATGTTCCCACTGGAGATGCCCTGAGCATGAGTCAGTAAGCCCTTGGAAGTCAAGTTATCTATCTTTTTTCCTTGAAAATCTGTAGTGCTTCCTCTGAGGGGACTGGAGGCACCATTTTTGGAATCCGTCTCAAGGTTGTGTTCAGTATCAGAAACACGGTCAGGATGATACAAAATGGGGATGGAGCTTATTGTTCCCAACTTTTCTTCTTGAAGAGTGCTTTGTCTAAGAGACTTGGAGACCGCATCTTTGGAATCTTCCTGAGGAATGAAGGTGGCTGAGGAGGGGAGGTCAAGATGGGAAAAGGAACTGGAAACGTCCTCTTGTGATTTACAGATTTCTGTGGATTCAAGGACCTTGCTGGGAAGACTCCACAGCATCCTCATATGGAAAGATTTAATATGGGCTTCCAACATCTTTTGTTTGTTGGAACCAAGGAAGGAAATCTGAGAAGTATCAACACAGTGGTCCTCAACCACCAATGCTGTCAAATTTCTTAGGAAGAGACACTGTCTGCTTGACTGAATGCTGTGAACTACGCACACTCCAAGGCACTTGACCCTTACTGATTTTCTCAAATTTCTTGCTCAAATGTACTGTCAGGGCATTTGAAAGTTGTTTCTGACCTAGGCTGACCCCTGATTCATTCCCTGGCAGATGCATCATCAAGTGACCTTCTAGGTCGCTCACAGAACTAGAACTCAGATCCTCTTCTGAAGATGTCTCTGGTTCATGCAACAGATGATCTTTTGGGCCATTCTCCTGGCTGTATCCCTGAAACTTCCCCACATTCTCTAGGGAAAGCATATTTGAGCTTCTCTTGTGGAAGCTTCTAGGTTTCCTTGATTTAAAATTCTTGAGATCATTGTGGTTTTGACCCTCAACCAAAGAGCTATGTAAGGGTCCCTCACTGTTCTCTGACTCAGATATCTCTGAAATTGGGCTCTGAGGATGTAGCAGTGACAGAGACTCGTGGATTCTGTGGGGCAGACCCCATCTGTGCGGGATGAGCCTCTTTTGAAGGTGGTGCTCTAGTTTCTTCCTAAGCTCAGCACTGAGTGGAAAATCTCCAGGAAAGGTGGAGATGGGACCACAAGCCTTAAAGGACTTGACCAATGCAAGACTGGAGCTGGAGAACAAAAGTCTTCCTGGGATTTTTGAACCACAGAGGGTAAACCCCACTCACTTTGCAGTACTTTCCGCAACACATTCCACTCCAGATGGTTAATTTCAGATGGTGTAAGAGCCTGTGCCTCATTCTGAGATTTATGAAAACACACTCAACAGCTCCCAATCAGGAACAGAGGACTAGATAGTTGGGCTGTGAGTGGAGATGGATTTTGAGCTGGGGACTGACCTTGGGGCAGGGTTTGAGGCAAGGGGAGGGACTGGGTAATAGGCAAGGACAGAGGTTGGGGATGGGGAAGTACTGGGGATTCCTGGAATGTAGACATACTCGTGATTTCATTGAAGAATACAAACATGGAGGAACGGCCACGTTGGTCAGGAACATTAGGATTCAGAGACTCGCTGTGCAGAGATGGGAGACCCCAGAAGAGCTGAACATATTTTTGTTCTAAATGGTCCTCAAAGCACTTAGAATATGGGGGCTGCTGATGGATGTGCAGCTGCTCTACTTTTTTCCCTGAAGAATTTAGTTGGTAGTTTGGCCTAAGATGTTTTGGGAAAGTTCCTGGTTTCTTTCCATTTTCTTTCCACAACAGAAAATCACCCCTTTTTTTGACTTGTCTCTCCAGAAGTGCCAGAATGTCATGGCTGAGAAATGAGAGCTTAACAAGCACTATGAGGTTGACCACAGAGTACTCCCCTAAAGAGGTCTCAGAAGAATGAAGGCTAAGAAGCTCTTGCATGAAATCAGATGGTGCAAAATTGGAAGAAAAAGAGTCTTTGGCATGAGACTGCCACCAGGAGAATTCTGCAGATGGAGGCCATGAATGGTCAATGCCTCTGATTGCTGGGAAATAGGTGGATGACCCACCAGAACCAAATAGAGATAACATCTCTGAAAAAGGCATCCATATGGTGAGACTTGATTTAGACTGGGTCACAGTGCAATCTTGCGGTGGTAAAGCAGATGGGCTTGGTGGTTTATGGTGACAAGCACATGAATCAGTGGGATTCATGACCTGGGAAATATTTGGTAAGGGGTTCATACCTTGGGATAGGGTGGAGTTAAATGAAAAGATGGTGTTCAGAGACAAACTGGCCTCAGGTTGGGAGATTGGGTTCCGCTCTCTGAATGTGATGTGGTGGGAGAAAGGGAAAGGGAAGCTGTTGGGGTGGGGAATGGTCTATGGGGAACTTGGAATCCAGGGGAGAAACAGGCTTTGGTGGCAGAGGGTCCCTCAGTGGTGAGGGTGAAAATAAGTCAGCTAAAGGGGTGATCAGGTCAGGTGAGAGAATTAAGGGGGGTGGTGGAGAAGGGTCAGGACTAGGAGACATTATTAAGTCTTCTGGAGGGGCGGCTGAGGAGGCAGAAGTCCAGAGTGAACGATGACTCAGTCACAGAAGCTGCAGAAGTCGAAGGGGACACAGAGGGAGCAGCATCTTTCAGGGACTCCCAACACAGCAGTCACTGGATCTCAGCAGTTATTCTGTTACACACCGCACGGAGGGGGTCTGGGCATAACAGTCGACGAAAGCAGGCTGTATCATGATGCTGGCCCAGGGGACTGCAGAAAGCAGGAGGCCCAAAGCTGCAGCCAGGACCAGAACAAAGAAAGGAGGGTCTGTTAGCCTGGCAGGGGTGGGAAACCTGGTGCCTGCTACCTGCTTCACATTGCCCCCCGCCTATGACCTCACCATGCACTCTAGGGCCTCTCATTCATTCATTCACATAGATGTTCCTATGGCTACCCACTCCCACAACTACAGCAGGCTACAAGAAATCCCTGAGGTGAATAGAACTTGCTTAAAAAAAGGACTGGGGTGGGAGCAGGACAGAAGGGAACAATTAATCACCTTTTCAGAAAAGAAACCAGCTTCCTTTCCTCTTCTGCTTCTTTCTGGAAGGTTATCCGGTCTGGGAAACCATAACAGTATGTCATATGTAATGAAAGTAGAGGCACAGGGATCATACAGAAGTCGCTCTGCAGAAGATCTTTGGGATATTCAACTCTGGTAGCCCCAAGTATCAGTACAAAAGGGCAAATAGTCATTGATACTATTAACAAGTTCACATGTATATGTGGCATCATTTATAAAATTCCTTCACATACATTACCCTATGTGATGCTCAAAACCACCATTGGAAACACAGATGTCAGTGGTTACCTCCAGGAGAAATCTGAGCAGCAAGGAAGTCAAAGTACTTACGCAAAGTTGTGAGACAGAAGCTCTGATTCCAAGCCAGCCAGTAGACATTCCTTGATATATAACTTGCCCAAGAATTGGGTAACGCCCAGTGCCCAGGTCTATCACTCTATCATGCCTATAGATAGGCAGAGCAGGGCCTATGAGCAGTGTCTCAGGTCTGATGGCTTTTCTGCAAGCCTCTCTGCTGAGTGCTCTGTTTTCTGAGACTGTATCTAGTAACTGACATTCTAAGAAATCATGGGCCTGAGTCCTCCTTACGGAAACAGGAAGGGTTACCCTTGAAGCTCAGATAGAGCAGGCTGACCTTACCTTTAAATGTTCCACCTTTCTTTCTCCTCCTGGCTCTGCCCTGACACTGAGAACAAAAGAAAGACAATGAGAGGCTGGGACTCATTTATCTAACTCTCTATGAAGCTCATTCATTCATTCATTCACTCATTACACAAGCATAATGTGACTCCCTAATTAATGCTAATATGTTCCTGTTATCAATTATTAAAGGTGATCAAATATTTCTAATTTTTCATTTCCTGAAAAACTCAAAGAGGATTTTGTCTGTGAGAGTCACACTTGATGTGCTCAGTTAGCAGTCCTCAAGGAGGGCACAGACTCAGAGGGTAACAGTCACATCTGTGCTCCCTCATAGGAAGAGTGTCCCAGAGACAGAGCTCTGGCTCCAGCCTCTGCTCAGAAACTCTCAGCATTGCTCCCCTGGTCAACCCAATATGAAGAAAGGCTTGACTGAATGAAGATGACATGGGAAAGTGACTCATGATCAAATTTCAGCAGAAATTGTTCTTCGTCAGGGAGACCACACTCTCTATGTAGTCCAATCAGGGTCCACAGAATTACTGTGTTTGGAATTTTATCTGGAACTCTCAATCACAGCCAGATAGGTAGTCTATGAGCTTCAGATGGAAACACTAGTCCTCCTGAAGCCCTAAGTCTACCCAACCTCTTCTAAAGATGAAATTCTATCCTCTCTTCAGACTTCCCGTCTAAGACCATCTCTCTGTACCAACCAAACTTACTTAGAAATGTGGGAATAGGATTGGGAAACAACAACAGGGAATCTCCCTTGGGTGTTCACCCACGGTTTCTTACCATTGGGATGTCATTATTTTTCCTGGGGGGTGACAAATCGAGAGTCAATAGCATGTAGAACATGTGCAGCATAAACAACCCCAACCCAGTCAAGCAGATGAAGTCGGGGTCAATATCCAAGCAATGTGCCAAGCCAGAGCTGAGCCCTGACTCAGTACAACTGTTCAGAAAAAAGAGGATATTCCCCATGATGTGAATAGCATGGCTGCCTGAAGCAACTGAGCCCTGAGTTTGCCCAGTCTTAACTATAAGCCCAGGCCTGCATCATAGAGCATGGAAGTCACAAAGGGTTTTTAAGGGTGGAGGGAGCAATAAGAGGAGGGTGTGTCCACAGTCTTGACCTCACCAGCCTAGTTCCCACCCCTCCTTTGCCCTCCAGGTCCCTCTGCTCTACCCTCCCACTCCATTTCCCAACTCTATCCTTTCTTCATGTCATATCTTTATTTTAGTGGAATTTTCTGTTTGCTCCAACAGTAAACCAGGTGTTACCCAAGTCCTGCTTTACTGTTTGGAGCCCGTAACTTCAACCCCACCAACACCACAGCCTTGAAAGCCTGAAATACTGCCTGTACCCAGGCACTGGCACTCTCAGGATCACCAACGTCCTCCAATCCCTCTTATCTACAGAATGTTTTTGCCTTACATTAGCCCAGATGTGAAACTTAACGTGCCTTTATACTTACTTTGTTTTGTGAATGTCAACAGTAAATTTTTTACTTTAAAGTCAGCCTTAACTATTTCCAATCAGAGGGACTGACTCAAACAATTAAAACTAATATTATCAAAGAAAAGGAGCTCACTGTCCAATTTGGGTTTTTGAGAAAAGCAGGTTTTTATGGTAAATTAACCACGAGACAGGAGTCCAGCTCAAATCTATCCCGTGTGCTGGCTTTCATGCAGTCATTTTGCTAGAAAAGGTTTACGGAGTGGTCTCTGGGATTAATAGGTGATCAGTGGAAGAAAGGAGGTCTGTAAAGTCCTCAGGCATGCACAGTTGTTTTTAATGCTACCTCATGGATCGCACGTGCACATTTGTGGGGAGTTAGTTGAAAACGTGGCAGAAATTTGAGCTGTGATGTCAGCCAGCTTATTCTGTGCAAACTTCAGTTGGCAATATCAACTTTAATCCATTTTAGCCAGTTTTTTAATCTCACAAGCAGGGAGAGTTTTGGCATTTTAGCAAGTTATTGTTGTTGTTTAATCTGCTATCCTGTAAACTGATGATCTGTGTTGGTCATTGGTTTCTTTAACTCTGGGGCATGGTTTCACTAATAATTCATTTTTAACATCTACAAAGTGAAAGTAAGTGTACAATAAATGTATGTAACTAAACTTCAAGGGATCTTGGGGGTACATTATAGCACTTATTTTTCTGAAGTTAGTGAAGTTTAAACTTTTCAAGCACTTTTGGAACATACTCTATACACAAACACACATATACATCGACCTAAAAGGAAGAAGGTGAGACAAAATTATCATAAATAGAGAGTTCATCTGGGCCAAACTTGAGGATTGCAACCTGGGAAAACAGATGCAAGTCACCCTAAATATACACTCCAATTAGCAGCAGTAACTAGCAGGTTTTTAGTCAAAAAATGGGGCTAGAAGTGGGCTGATACAAAGTTGTTATCAGGAATTCTCATTGGTTTACAAAGTGATATTGATTAGTGTTTGGCTATATATTGTTAAGTTATAGGGTATGGGTTATAGTGTCAGGTGTGGGGTTATTGGGTTAATATATAGCTACATGTGGCAATAGCAAGCAATTTCAAGAGATGAATACACAGCTCAAGGATAAAGTAGGGCTGTGATTGCTGTCTCATTTTAATGTCTGTCTAGGCCTGATAACTTAAAAGGACTCACATTCCTCAGATAAAAGTTCTTTTCTTTAAAAACATTCCTACACACCCATCCTATGACACATCAAGCAGTATTTTCAAATCCAAAATTGATTATTTCCTTCTTTTATTTCAATCTCATATTTGTCATTTTGACCCATTTTCTAACTCAATCTCAAATACAGAGTCCCAGCCCTCTACATCAATTTCATAACAAGTAAGCAACTCCCTTAAACAAGGAATAGATTACAGTACACTAAGCTATTGTGATCTAAGAGACCAAATAGATGCCCTTAATCAACTAAGACAGACCTTAGGGTTAAAAAAAGAATGTTCCCTATAGGTCAAGGGTTCAGAGCCTGGAATGCATGGCAAATTTCTAACTTTCTATAACTAAAATCCCTTTAACCATATCAGCTCTCAGCTCTGACTGGACAGAGGACCAGCCTTACAAATATTCTTTTCTGATAAGCTATTAAAATTACAGATTGCCAGTTTCTGCCAGCTTCTAAGAGGCTGCACACAAACCACCTTTGTATCCCATAGTTCACCCTTTGTTGTAAAGAGCCAAATTCTACCTCATTTTAGTGCTAAAACCCCATTCCAAAGCAAACATGGATGTATGTTACATATCCTTACTCATTATGGTGTGCTCAGCTCCCATATAAATATGTATACCTTTTTCCCAAACTTGTTGAATATGTATGATATGATTATAAATTGCAACCTGTCCTTCCCCTATTCCAACAGAGAGCAGCACCTTCATTCCACACTGGATCCTTTCCTTTCCTGGGTTGCAAACTAAGAAAAGCAATGAGGCTTTCCTTTCTACTATTAAGCCATCCTGCTCTTTTGGATGATACTACTGATCTCAGCAGTCTTTTCTAGCAAAGGAGGACCCAAGCATATCAAAGCCTTAGGGCAGAAAGTAGTCTTAAGCAACCTCACCTGATTACACCGTGGACCATGTAAATGTAATCTTTTCCAGAGTGCCTTGGCATCAAAAGAAAAAAAACCTTGAGAACATCTGCTCTATATTTTATATAATCATCCCTGCAAATGTCCACATACCCACAACCTGTCATACTTTATTTGGGCTCCTCTTGTCAGGCTTAAATAATCCCAATATCCCCCACCCCTGACCCATCTTCCTACACGTCCTTTTCTAAACTCTTTATCATGACAGCTGTCCTCTGAACTGTCTCTTAATTTCTCATGTCTTTCTTAAACTATTGTTAGAGCAAAATAAATATGGCCTGAAAAGGACTCTTTATTTCTATATTTGAGTCCTGACAGATGAACGGTAACCTAGCTTAATAGCCAGACAACTTGAAAACTCAAAAGTATGCACCTGTAACAATACCTGAGTTCTGGCCAATTCCAGCGGCCATACTTCAACAACTCATAGACTGCTGAATGTTCAAACTGCATTCAAATAAGGCAAAGGCTGAGTTGTAACCAATCTCACTCTTTCTGTATCTCACTTCCAATTCTTGTATGTCACTTTACCCTTTTTGTCTATAAATTTGTTCTAAACACGAGGCACCCCTGTAGTGTCTGAATCTGCTGTGATTCTGGGGGCTGCCCAAGTCACTAATCGTTCATTGCTCAGTTAAACACTTTTAAATTTAATTTGGCTGAAGTTTCTTTTAACACTATAAAGCTCTTTATTTGACACCCATGGGCCATCACTGTTACTTGATCTCTTTGAAAGGGTGAGACAGCCTTCAAGCCAGGCCAGGTCTCCTTTCAATTATGCAGGAGCAGGTAACCTGCCTTGAGGATAAAATCTGCCAAGAGATGCCACTTCCTTATCTCTTTAATATGGAGCCTCAGCCAAGTTTTCATCTAATAAATATTTACTGCTGCAAACTAGGAGACAGAATCATCTACAAGAAATGGGCTCTGCCCTTGACCTCATGGTGTGGTTGGAGTAATTAGTTCTACACAGCTCAAGAGCTACACAAACATAGAATAGAGGTTCCCCTGTCTTCCCGCATTTACAATTGCCAAGCAATCTCTGGAATAGATACTGTGGGTCGTAACTCCTCAGACACATCATGCTCTTTAGCAAAAAAATACCTGCATGTGCGCTCTCTCCAATTTCCTGATATGAATTAATGATTCTTTGAGGAGATGTTCAAAGAACAGCTTCTCTCTTTTAAAATGTTATTCATTGGCTAGTTATCTTTACAAACATACGTGTGCCTGCAGTTAAAACCTGCAAGAAGTTTCAGTAAAAATGTTTTTCCCCAAATGTTAATGATTCCCTTTCTGAACATGGTTGAAGCTCCTTCAAAATTTAAGAAAACAAGAGACTAGAGATATATTTATTTTCTTTTTTTGCACCACCAAAAGTAAATTCCATTGACATGGAGTGGCAATGCTTCACAGCACTTATCCTTTCTGGCACTAGCACCAACTATAAACAATAAATTTGCCCACTTTATAAAGACTTCTACTTCCAGCCATCTCAGTGCATTTTCACAACCTATGAGGTTAGCAGGTCAGGTACTGTGCCGATTCTTCTTCTTTTTCTATTTGTTTTTATTGTAACAGGCACTTAGATCTTCCTGTGAATATTGTGCTACTTTATCAATGAATGAAACCAAAGCCCAGAGAGGGTAGGAGACTTCTCTACATCAGACAGTAGTAAATATTAGAGCCCTAATGAATAAATTCCCTATATTCATGATGCTTCTATTTTACAGAATATTAATATGTAATTTCTTAAAGTAAAAAGCATGCCCTAATATTAAAATTACTTACATGGTTAAGAATATTCATTTTGTCCATTAAATGCTGGCAAATTTGAGAAGTAACAAAAAGCTATTTTTGGCACTCTATCACCTCTTAGATAACTTTCCTTTTCACTCTTAGCATCGGTGTCTTCATAGTTTTTTTTCCTATCCCCCTCTTAAAAACTGCTTTTAAGTACTATGCTGTATATGACTCCCAGTCGTGTGATGTAAAAGTTTAAAATGTCATCCCTCCCAGGAAAACATTTCACACATTCTACATACATCTAACTCCAAGCCTTGTAATAAGCTCTTACCAAAGCATTTTAGGCAGCCGTTGGGAGGTGGCAGAGGTAGCTTCTGGTAGGGTGAGGCTGTCTCACCACCGGCCCCATGACATCTTCCCAATTTACCTACATCACCACCCGGAAGTCTGGTCTTAGATTTCACACTGCACTTGGTTTTATTATCTCCAGGAGGAGTCTTCTTCAAATGCTCTTAGAGTAATATGCTACCATTTGAGGATGCTCAGCACAGATAAACTATTAGTTTAGGACTTTCATATGTTCTCAATTTTCTAGAAAGTTTCCTCAATGCTCACGCCCTCATATCCTGACCACTGTCTCTGCGATAAGCCACAGGTTTCCAGGATCCCCCAAAGCCTGAAGAACAACAGGTTTTTAAGGCAAAATCCTTTATAATTGTATTTTTAAATAGCAGTTTTATCCCAGC